TCCGCTGCCAAGCTCGGTTTCTTCCTAATGGGCCTAATGAGTGTCTCCTGGAGAAACCCATTAATTATTGCCATAGCCCATTCAGATGTTATAGGCCTGGCTGCTGTGATTAGCCAGGCTGTGCAAAGGTCAAGGGAGGAGGAGGTGATGGCACGACAGCAATCAAGCACTCTGTCCAGCATTTCTGACGTCACAGGCTGAAAGTGGTTTTATTTCTATGTTAAAATATTACATTTATAAAATGTAAATCTGATTCAATGTAGTGTCACCACATAGACATGATTGTTTTTTAAAAGATTCTCTGAAGATATGTCACTCCTGAATTCAGTGTTTTGAGACTACGTGTAGAATATAGTGTAATGAGGTAATTGTGCTAAATGCTATGTTCTATTTGGAGACTGAACTATCGGTCAAAGCCAACTCTTCTAGCCACTTACTTAGTTTTTAATGCTTTTTCCCCTCAGATAATTGAAACTGAAAATATGATGGATCGGATTGTGAATGGCTTGTCTGAGTCTAGCATCAAGGTGCGCTTAGCTGCAGTAAGGTATGAATATGAATAGTGTGCTTTAGCACACTTAGCCTGTTTTGCATTCCATTAGGCAGTGATCTTAAAACATCAGAAGGTTGTAAGTTATCTTCACCAATAACTGTGGTTTGAAGGATGTAACAACGCCTGAACTGTTAGATCATTCTGAATGAGTTTTACATTATAACTGTTGTTTCAATAACCAAGGAATGGTATTTGGCTACTACTTGTAAAGGTGCAATAAACAAGATATGTTTGTACAGAATTTTACAAAAAGGAGGTACATTCAGATAATTTTCAGAATATACTGTCACTTGAGGTCTGTCAGTGGATACACAAAAATACAGGAAAGAATTAGATTGGAATGAATGTAAAGGACGATATATTTAAGCCATTTATATCAGAGTTGGGCAAGATTTAGCTGATGCTGTGTGTGGCTCTCCAAGCATTTTGATGCCTACAATTTTTCCCATTCTTTCAGTCCTCAAGAGCTATGATTTTGCAATAAAGTGAAGTGCAGGCCTCCCTACCCTCCCCCCAACTCCAAAGCCATAAAATGAAACTAAAAATATACATCCAGCAACTTTTGATTTGGAGTTTTCATAAGTTTTGTTTATTTTAGAGGTTGGTGCTAAATATTGAAATTGCCCACCCAGTGTTACATTAAGAGAATATATGTACAGTACCATATATTGATTCATGGTAAATAGATATTGGAGAGGTGGAGAACAAGATGCTGATTGTATGCCCATCTTTAATATCATCTTAGTACTGGACTTTGTTTTTGGATTATCTTGAGAAAGATTATGTAGTTTGTATCATTATTTTGTATAATCATTGTTACTTTAATAAAAATGTTTAAAATTTTTAGTTTTTTATTTTCAAAATTGTTTCTGAAAAGCTATCTTGAAGCAGTGGAAGTATCTTGTAGCTGATGTTTGATTTTATTTTGTAGATGTTTGCACAGTTTGTCAAGATCTGTGCAACAGCTCCGAACAAGTTTCCAAGATCATGCTGTATGGAAACCCTTAATGAAGGTAAATCAGTTTTCATGTATACACTTGAAGATGAATTGTAGTGTTGATTTCACTGAGTTATTGGTAAAGAAGAATGTTCTTCACATTGCTGTATAATTCATGTTTAAATTTATATTGCTCCATAAATCTTAGGGTTTGAATCCCTTGATCATAGAGAATCACTGGGGGAGTGGAACTGGTAAAACCACTCCTTAAATTTCTCACATACCTTGAAAGTCCTATTGGGGTCATTATAAGTTGGTTCTGATTTGATGGCATAAAACACACATACACGTAACGTAGGTAGACTGATAGTCAAATTATGTCATGAAACCTCCATAAGGCGCTTTTTAGGATGCTGTTTGTTTGTTCATTCATTCATTACATCCACATTGCTTACTCTTTTGATATATTGATGCACTTTCTCCTTCTGCCCCAATCCAAAAAGGTTTCCAGAAAGTGATGAATTTTGTTAATTTCTTATCTAAATACTAGTATTAATTTTTTGAGAACAGCTAAAATTTCTGTTGTGTCATATTGAAAGAAGACTAATATGCACTGTCACAATTATGTTGACATTGAAATCATGTGTTTCTTGTAAGTCATCTTGTGAGGGCAACATGTCCTGGAAACATCAGACAAAAAACAAAACAAAAACAGGAGACAAAAATGTTGTAGCACTGTAAAGACTAAGTGTATATTTTAATTTCAGCTTTCATGGATCAAATCTCTCTCTCTCTCTCTCTTCATTTGAACTCATTCAAAATGTCTTCTTGCTGGGTTCTAGGACTACACTGTTGGGTATAAGATGATGAAATATATACATAAATATTTGAACTGCTTATTACAGAGTAATTTGCTTCAGGATGAATATGTCAGTTATTAATGACCACTACGTTTTGGTGGTTATATTCGTAAGAATAAAGGCCACGCTATGATGTAAAACATCTTCCTCAACAGTCTGTGCTGCAAAACACTTTGACATTCCCAGTGCTCACACATAGTAGGGTCCAAGATCTTGTTGTATCACCTAAGTCACATTTTTGCAGTGACAGTCATCTTTTACGTATTGGCTGCAGCTGTCATTCCCTATTCAACTGTACCGGGGGGGCTTTTTGCTACTTCTGGTATCCAATAAGATCTGAGACATTATAACTAATACAGCTTTTGACTCAGTTTTTTCTCTATCATTAATTTGCACAGGTCTTTCTGAATTATGACCATAAAGTTGAAAAGTGCTAATGCAACGGTATATTTTTAAGTGGTAACTATCACCACTACAATGAATTGTTATTTGAAGCTCCCTTCTTGAGGTGGGGAAATATGTTTTCTGTGAAATTGACTGTGGGCACAAAAAATACTTCCAAACTTTCAGATAATGACTGCACAAGCTGGGAGGGAGTTTCCAGGTCCTGAACAGGGATAGCAGCAAGGGAAGTCTACTTAGACATTAAACATTCCCTGTCTTATTCCAAATGCAGTAATATTCATTTTGTCCTTTTCTCCTTAGGTATTACAGAATGCTCCTGATGAAATCTTAGTAGTAGCATCTTCCACTCTATGCAATCTTCTCCTAGAATTTTCTCCAAGCAAAGAGGTTTGTTGAGCTTTAAAAAGAGAAACATAATTCTGTTTCTTCTTGTAATGCAACATGTTTGTCATAGAGGGAATCCTGCTTTTATTCATCTAGCCCAGCAATGGCGAACCTATGGCACTCATGCCACAGCTGGCATGCAAAGCCCTTTCTGCTGGCACGCGAGCCATAGGTTGCCAGATCGCTACTCCCCCTGCCCCCCCCTGCGCAGCCAAACCTCAGGAGGCGGCCACAGCCGATGCTGGCACTTCGGCGAGCGGATGAGGAGCAACTGGTGCTGGCAGTGGAGGGGTCTCCCCCTGCCCCCCCTCTGCAGCCAAACCTCAGGAGGTGGCTACAGCCGATGCTGCCACTTCGGCAAGCGGATGAGGAGCAACTGGTGCTGGCAGTGGAGGGGTCTTGAGTCACCTCCGTGCCGGGATTTCCCCTTCCACCACCACTTCTGGTTCTGGGTCCGCACTTCCAGAGTTGGGGTCCACACTTCCGGTTCCAGGCGGCACACCACCCGCTCCCCCCCCCCC